ACCCTTTTCCTTCCCTGAGAGTTCAGGGTGGGAAAGGGACGAGAACTCAAACACGGACAGTTCAGTAGCCAAGTGGCCTGAAGACATGAAGGGGATCGGAGGGCCCCTTCTGGGGACACGGAAAAGGAGCTCGGTGACGATGCACTCTTTGGAGATCCATCGAGATCACTATTTGGCCACAAAAAGGTGGGGCTGTTCCAATCTCCTTGATAATCACCGCCCTAATTATTACATTATTCTTTCACAACGTAATCTCTTTATTTGCCTCACTGCCTTTTTGGGGGGCTAAGTGAGCACCACAGTGTGAGCCTGATGATGTAACGAGCAGGGTCGTCTTACCGCGTGCCGCCCAGCTGCCAGCCACAAGCACAGCCAGGTGGGCAAGTCCAGAGTGCTAATCTGGACAGTGACATCTCTGTCTCCTGCTCAAAATCCCTGAAACTTGCTTGCTCCAATATGGACTAAAACTGAGCACGATACATCAATGCCAAGAATCACCCTGTGCATTGCTCTGCTAAGCCCGTGGTAGAATTTCAGCATCCTAAAGAATAATCATGCATAGAATTCCAATTATTCTATCCCAGTTCTTGCACAGTAAATAACTATTGCATAGCTATTAATAGCCAAGCAATATGATTTTTTAAACGTGCACAAAACACAGTTGGAAATCTTTTCACATAGTTACTTGACCTAGACACAGCATATTGAAGACAAGAGAATTTTAGACGGCCTGCATGCACCTCCCTTCACCAAAAATGTAAAAATTTGGTCTCTCTCAAGGAAGGAGATGTTCGTAATCTGCAAATCTTTAGAAATCACGCTTTAATAAAATGTTGATAACATAAAACTCTAGCCAGCAGGCTGCCTGGCTCAGAGTAGGTTCTCAGTAAATATTTGTTGAGTAAACGGGAATATTTTCCACATGGAGAACCTCCTCCTTTTATCAGCATATGCAGGACTACTCAATTTACTCCAAAACAACTGCTTATCTGTGTACAGTTAGCCCAGAAGGTATAAACTGGGTTAACAAAATTAAATTACTAATAGTTTGAAGCTTAGATATTCTAGGCTCCCTAACAATCCGCATTGACTGGATGGCAGCGAGGGTTCTTTTGTTTATAACCAGGTAAGGAGCTTTGGTGGCGCTGGCACTGTGTTAGGCATTGGTCTGCTAACAGCAAGGTCAGCAGTTCAAACCTACCAGGAGCTCCCAAAAAGAAAGATGAGTCTTTCTGCCTTGGAGACCCACAGAAGCAGGTCTGCTCTAGAGTCAGAATGGACTCAGTGACCTAGGGTTTGGTTTCGATGAGCCAAGAGCCACTCAGTGGCAGTGTGTTTGGAGCGGCTTAGTTGTATAAGCATCAGGGGTTTCCCGGCGGTTGGAATCGATTAATCATGGTGGTTTGGGATTGGGGTTTTCTATTACCATAAGCTTTAAGGTCCTGTTTACCAGCCCAATGACACGAGGTATGCTTTCAACCTCAGGTTTTGCAGAGTTAGCAAATAAGGTGATGAGCTATTGCTTTTCAAATGTTCACATATGAAACAAAACTTTGCCTATAGGCCACTTACTGTTTTGGCTTAAACATCTTATGTAAGGTTTTATGACTTATTTAACCATTAAACATGCCTGGAGGTAAGTAATACGGACTTCATTTTATAGATATAGATACTGTTTATTAAATACAGATCCAGTGGACTAAGAATGTTTATAATAAACTATGGCAATGATGAGTCCCCGAAAGATATAGCCACTAAAATATTTAAGGAATTCCTAGGTACTCCCCCATTAACTTGATTTGTTTGGTTGATGTTCTTCAGATGAAACTATGAAAAGGCCATACTTTAAAACTGACTCTAATATAAACAGTAATGGTATCTTAAAAATTATGCTAAGTAAACTCTCTAAATGTATACTGAGGTAGTTTATTGTGCCAACCTGGCCGATAAAAACATGTGTGATTAATTGAAAGGCGGAGAGATAAATGGCTCGGCGAGCCTCGCCTTTCTTGTCTCTTGGTCTTTGATCATGGGACCAGTGTGCGGCCTCCTTGCTTGTTCTTTGCCTCAATTTGCAAGCTACATTACCTGCGGGACACCTAACCCATGGACTGTGTCACTGTAATTTGAGGTTCCTTCAAGACCTGCTTCACCACACCATAGGAATTTACATCTCTTGAGCTAGGGACTATTGGACCCTGTCATCTGGATGACTCTTGGTGAGCTGCCTGGCTGTTTGCTGCCTGTGCCCGGATAGTCTGAATTGCTCTACAGAGGACTACCTGTCGGCCCTCAAGACTTGAAGGACTGCCAGTGTCTCACAACTGTCTCAAGGGAGTGAGTTGCACTGAGCCATTTGTACTGCTTTATAATTTAATTAACTGTTTATTTCTATGTTATACATCTATCTATCTGTATGTATATATCTATGTCTAACACATATACTTATCGGCCACACACCAAGAAAACCATTTGCTGACAACATAAACATAAAATCATAGCACACCCAAGTTCATCTCTCTAACTCACTGTCAAGATCACAGCATCACAGAAGAGCCTCCCTGCCAGACACTCTTAGAAGGGAAAGGCAGAAGATTGCTCCAGCTACACAAAAAAAGATTTCAGAACCAACTTGGTTAAAATATTTTAAAGACGAGAATTTAACAGACTATTTTGCACTATAAACCTGGGTGCACCTCCCAGGTTATAAAAGCTCCTAATATTGATTTCGATATTATGCAACAAGGGCCCCTTCAGATGACAATGATCAGAGGCAATGGTAAACCAAATAGGATGCTACCTAGGAGACTGCAGTGTTTCTCAGTGTCTGCAGACACTGGAATTAAACTTAGCAGCAATTGTGAGAAAAATGCAGCACTGGGTAACCCTCAATCCTTGCGATGATCGAAGTGACAACAATATACAAGGGTAAGTCAAAAAGTCTTGCTAAAAGTGTTTTTGTCAAAATAGTGTAAGGAAAATCTTAACAGGCAATTTCAACCTTAGGAAAAGAAACCCAACGCACTGCGACACCCCATATACTTTCTCATTCCCGGACCACACCTGTCTCCTGGCCTTCTTACTAAAGACCACGGCTGCACTAGAAATCCTGCCTAGTCTGCTTCTGGGACCTTACTCCTGCAGATAAAGTATAAAAGCTACGCCCACCTGACATTCAGGGCCCAGATCGTCCAGTTCCTCTGAGTCTCCAGCTAATAAATTTTCCCTCTTTCAAGTTCTCCAAGAGTGCCCCTGGTCATGCAAGAGTCACGGTTTTGCTGTAATAATCGAAGCTATTGTTTCTCCAAATAGACCATACACTTTTTAAGGTGATGTGCCCGTGTCTCTCACACTTCCCTGAAGAATTCTGCGCTCTTTGATCTACACTATATCAGATGGCAGTTTGAGTATCCTCGCAGGACTCAAATCCTGTTCGTTTTTAATGTTCTTTGAATTCTAAGAACAAAAAGAAGTCTAAGGAGGCAGAATCAGGCTGTAGGATGGGAGCGGTAAGGTTTCCCATTCTGAATGAAATTATTATGGGATAATTCTTGGTATCTTTGAAGATTGAGTAGGCAGGTGCATTGTTATAATGTGGGGGGCGGGGGAATTACATACTTCCTTAGCTTATTTCTCACCAATGAAGCTTTCCAGTTTCAACAAAACTTCTTAAAATTAGTAAGCCTCATAATTTTGACTCCCCTGCCCCCCTCCCAGAAAACAGTTACCAGACCTTCTAAATTGGCTGATCTGCCTTGAATTTAGCTAGTGTAGCAGATCTCCTCATAGCCACTGATTTGATTGGACCTTTTAATTAAAGGCACCTTAAGCTGTGCTAGCAAGAGAACATGTCTGCAGCCGTCTACTGATCACAGAGACATGTTTAAATGTGTTTGGTTTAGACTAAATCCCTGAATTTATGGAAGAGAACCCTAGTAGCAATATTAATGGACCTACCCTTTTTTTTTTATCACTTTTGCCATGAGCTGAATTCTCTATTTTAGGATAATATGTTTAAAGAGGGCATATACAATTTAAAATCATATTTTCCTACATTTTCATATGGGAACTAATAAAATTATCAATAAATCTGGAGATCCAATATGGTTTAGGGATGTGTATGGCACATCTTTGGAGGTATATTTTATAATTTAGTATAATTTGGTAATATAGTATAATTTCACTGGTATAGTCAAGGAGACTTTTATACTGATTAATTAAAGAGGGGAAGGGTAATAGGGTTATGATTGTTAAGTGTCATTCGATGATTTTGACTCAAAACTTGGTATGACAAGAGATGAACTGCCCCTTAAGGCTTTCTCAGCTGTCATCCACACGGCAGAGCACCAGATCCCCCACCCCATGGAACCTCTGGGCGAAGTCAAACCATCAACCTCTCGGCAGCTGAGCCCATACCAATTTGTGGCATTGGATGTTAAACACGGGAGAGCACTGGGTATTGCATGTACAGTTGTTCTGCATGTGATCTGCTCACACACATCACTCTAATAAAAGCTATGCTTTTGAAAACTCCCCCCGGCGAGGGGTATTTTCATTCCGTCAGGAGGACTCAAGAGGGAAAAGTGGATGGCTGGATGGGGAGTGTCTCTTCCCTGGGAGGCGCTTCTTCTTAAATCCCCTCCTCTCAATGCTAGTCTCTTTCTGTTTTGTGGTTATCTGAGTCGCCCCCGATGCCTGGTGACCCCACTTGTGTCAGAATCGCACTGTGCACCCCGGGGTTTTTAACAGTCGGTTTGTCAAACGTGGATCAGCAGGGCTTCCTCCCAGGCACCTCTGGGTGAACTGGAGCCACCAACCTTTGTGTTGGCAGCTGAGCCCATTCAGCGCCTGGCATCATGCATGGACACCATTTTGTATTTAAGAAACTGTAGACTCTGAAGCTTGTCTAAAAGATAAGAAATACAGGAAAACAACAAAATACCAAAACCATCAAGCGAGGTTGCCAGAGGACAGAATAGAGTCCCAAGTCCAACACTAACCTTGAATTGTCCTCTTGAAGAATGCCTTGCAGGCTTCACATGATGCCACCCCATAGTGGTACCCAGAAGCGATGTCGCCACACACTAAGCACAGTCTCTTGGGCATGGAGTTGAGCATGTATTCACACTTGGTCTGGGGATCTTCAACGATAGTGCTGGAGCAGTCATCATACAGTTTCCGGACAGGCCCGCTCCCCCCGAGGATGGGAGCAGAGGGGTAGAGAGGTGGCGAGTCAAGTCCATTCTGATGGCCATTCATGGTGGAACTGTAGCTCCCACTGGCGTCGGAGGAGCCACCAGGGCTGTGGTGGTTGACGCTGTCCGTCAGGGAGGCGGGGCTGGAGGGTTCCGTCTTGATGAAGGACGAACAGCTGGAGTCAATGTGTCGATCTTTGTTTGACATTCTGCAGAGAAGCCTGAGATGGGGAGAGAGAGAGAGAGAGAGAGAGAGAGAGAGAGAGAAAGGAGAGAAAGCAAGAGGGTCAAACACAGGGAGCAAATGAGGTAGAAACCAAAAGATGTGGACTCCGTAAAGTGGCAGGCAGGGGAAACCAGAGTTCCTATGTTAAAGACCTTGCTCTGCGAGAGTGCTTCCTAAGGGCTGGGGACTCCACATCGTTCATTCGCTAGTCAATATCTCTTGTTCTACAAGAGGGTAATCAGCATAAGGGCGTGATGAGGTTACATCAAAGCTGCCAGGCAGGCCATAAACAAGAGCTCTAACGGGTCCCATTCCTTTTATTTTACCTTTCTCTTCAAGAACCACTGTCAATATCTGAACCATCTCACTGGATTTGAAATCTATCAATGGAAAAGACAGTGCTTTGTAGTTTCGAGACCTTTCGTTTATATTCACTCTGCTTTACCTCTGCGTGCAGAAGAGGCAAACATTTCACTACCAGCTGAAGCAAACTTTTATTTCCAAGACTGAACAGATGATCCATCCCTCAGCTCTGTAATTATGGTTTGTCAGCACGCTTCCAGAAGCATTACTGTATCTTTTATTGATCTGATGAAGACACTAAGGGACATATTCTGCAATCGCGTTGTTTCTTTATTTAAATGGCTATCTCAGAGCCGTTTGGCAACATGCATGTAGACTATCCTAGCCAACATTATAGGTTATATCCTAGAGCCCACAGAATTTAGTGAGCCGATCACCAGCATTGGCAAATTGTGTGTGTGTGTGTGTGTGTACAGTTTGAGAGATGACTCAGACAATCCATTTAAACCTTCAAGTTGACAATGGGTCGGTGAATCTGACACTTTACATTCAACGAAGTAGGAACAGATCAAGTTTTATCCAGAGAGATAGATTTGTGATGGCCCCTTTCCTCTCCCCCCTTTTTGTCGTTTAACGCCACACATCCTAAAAGGTAATACGATGAAGCATCTAATCTGACAAACTAGCTCTCTTATCGAGAAAAAACACATCACCCCTCTTTCTTTGTTGCACCCATAAGTGATTAACTTTCCGAAAAGGTAATAAGATGAAAAGACATAATTGGTCCTCTTTCCTTTCTGCTTCACCATGTGCAAAACCCCTGTTAGCGGAGTCTCAAGAACCTTCTGAGAGAGCCCACGATAGAAGCAAGAGGTGACAGTTGAGAGAGGGACTTAAGATAATTGCTTCCCAGTGGAAAGTTGATTTATGGGAATCCCACTGGGTAACGGTCATTCAGGAGAATTTGGGGGAGTCGTCACAGTATAACCACCAGGATGCAATTATCTTTTTCACTATAAATCTAATGATGTTTTATCATCGCACAAATGTCACGCTCTCACCCCTATCCTCACTCCCCGGCTGTTCGGCTTTACATTAAAACAAAAAATAAAATGGGGACACGCTTATCACAAATGTTCACTTCATAACTGTTCCAAGAAGGCAGTCTCAAGAGCAAAGCATCAGGGAACAAAAGTCAAGAGCAAAGGGGCAGGGGGTTTGGGGGGGAGCCTCTCCACTCGCAGGTTTCACTTTGGAAATGGGGTTTCTGTTTCTGTTGTCTTTCTCTGATTACTTTTGTCTCTCCTGCTTTTCGACTTACTGATGCAGGATGCAAAGCAAGCAAATAGGAAGGAGAAATCCACGAAAATGTTATCTTGCTACTAACCACCCGTGTGCGTGGTCCTTCTCGCAAAAGGAAAAAGAAAAAATAGCAGGAGAACATAGACCCTCACCAGGCTGAGCCACGGGCATCCTCTCCCTTCGGCATCTGCTGCCTTGTCGCCGTCACCGTTAATGAGCGTTGTAATTAATAGATCGCTCTCCTTGTCTCCCTGCTTGCACTCTGGGCTAAGCACTTTCCTCAAGTCAACGTTTGAAAGAAAGCGGGTCGGCACTGACTTACAGCAGCCCTGCGAATTCCTTTTAATTTAGGGCACTTACACCACCACTTCACTTATTACCTTATAATTACTGGACTGCTCGCACATACATTATGATCTTAGACTCGAGCTAGAAGTTATTAGGGTACTAAAACATGGTCGCTCGCCTTGCCTCTCTCTAGCACGGAATTTCTCAGAGCTGTGACAATTAACTCTTTCACCATCTGCCCACAGGGCCCTGTTTCTTGCTTTTCCTTTTTTTTTTTTTAATTTCTTTCCTGAAGAGAGTTGCTGCAAGCTGCTTGACTACAAATCATAATCATCATCTTCTCTTTCGGTCCTCTGCCCACCTCTCTCCCTCTTCTCTTTCTTTTCCTGTCACACTGGATTGTCTTCCCTGCGGGCTTTTTCCTCATGCCTTGCTAAAATTAGACAACTCTTGGTTAAGGAACACTGTCGAGGCCACCCTCCTGTTAGTGGTACACTCCTTCGCTGAGTGACCGAGCACTTCCATCTCAGATGGGTATGGTTCAAGGTCCCTGAAAAATGGGCATTCTCCGACAGCTCTCTTACAACAAAATCCTGGTCTGTGATGTTGCCAGGAGCTCAATGGAAGCAAGGAAATCCCCAAAGTGAAAGCTGCCAGGACGCCCCCGGCAGGGGCAGGAGCTTCCACTACGTTAAATACAGCTGCTGGCCATGAACGAACACACGGATGTGCTGTGTTCCAATTTGCACAGTCTTCTTGGCAGACATGAACGACGTCTTCCGTTGCTATCGTTTGCCCGGTGGGACCCGTAAGCGCTGCTGTGGATCAAGTGCTTTTGATACGCCAGGCAGCTGAGCTGAGCACTTTATGAAAAGTAGCTCATTTCATCCCTAAAACCACGTTGTGGCAGGGGCAGACATTACCATTGCACCTAACGGGCCACAAGATTTGCTGAAAATCCTACAGCTACAAAGTGGTATACTCGGGATTAAAACTGGCCCCAAAGTTCAGAGCCGAAATGTCTCCAGACCAGCATAGTTTTCAACAGTTTATATGGATTTGGGGTTTTGGTTTTAAGTGGAGCAAGTGAGACGAGAAGTAGCAAGCTAAAATAAATACGGGCTAAGGAAAAAAGTACGGCTACAAAATAGAAATGTTTATGAAAAAAAACACCAACATGAGAAACGATGCTTTCCCTCCACGCCCTCCACTGAGAACTCTCCACGTTTGATGGCAGTGTTTCCAGCGTTCTAACCCTTCCCCCAGTCACTCTGCCCTCTTCGATCTCTACCATGCTAAATGGCAATTTTGATGTCCTCTGGGGACCCAAAATGTGTTCCTTTTCAATGGCCTTTGAAAAATGGGAATAAAAAACATTGGACAAGACCAGAGGTATAAGGTGGACAAAGTAATGTTTCCCAAAGAAATTCTCGTAGGATGGCCCTGGCTGCCCTCTAAGCAGAAATAGGTGCATTGTCCTGGTTTTTTTTTGTTTTGTTTTGTTTTTGGGGGGGGGCACGAAACTCCTGGCATTTAGCTCACCAATGCAGTTTTCCATTTCCTCAAAACTTCTGCAGAATAAGCCCCCATGCTTGTCTTGTGTCCTTCAAAATATTTTATCAAGACCACCCCTCGAGAATCCCCCACCACAGTCACCATAGATCTATCCCTGTGATCTGACCTCGCCGCTTCGAATTTCACTGGCCCAGCAGGTTCCTTTGGAAATCGCTGTTTCCATGGGACCTTTCTTTGAAGGTGCCTTCCTGGGGCTAAAACACATCACCCACTGATCACACAGACATGATTCAACATGGTTTGTGTGGCACAGAACTGCGTGTGTATGCACTAGGACCCCAATAGTGTTTCTTGCCTTAGCCTCATCCATGGTGTCAATTTCTCTGCAAACATAGCCACACCTTGCCCATGAGTCAAAAGAGGCCACCATCCTGGTCATGGGCTGCCCTTATCGAGCGTCCCTCCTCTGGGCTTCCAGAGACGCCTAAACAGAACCTCGGAAAGAAGACAGTTGCTTTCTGATTACTACTTAGCTCCTTACCATGAACACGGCCTTGACACTGTCACATTATCCCCTAGAACTACAGCGGGTCCTAATTCTCTCCCTCTCTGTCTCTGAGATTCTACAGCCCTATTATTCAAGCCTGAAATATTCACAACTCTCTATAAATTCAATCGTCAGCCGGTGGGTTTTATTCTGGACTTCACTTCAATCTAAAATTAGAGGCACTAAAATTCACATTAACTCTAAGAGGAATGTAGTGAATAAGGCTTTATTTCAAAAGAACACCTTTTTGTCAGAAAGAGCCATTTTCAAGATGATGGCTTTATCTGTTGCCAGCCAAAGAGAAGAGGTCCAATTCCAGGTTATGCTGTTAACGCAGAAATTTTAGGTCACATTAGATTAATAAAAATCTAAATTTAGTGAAAAGTTACGAATATAAATAAGATGCGTGCGGGAAACGTGGGAAATATTTATTGTAAAGCCTTGTTACAGCTGCTTTATTGCTTTAAGAGAAATGAAGGGAAGCACAAGGAAGCAATGCAGGGTCCTCTCCAGGGGCCAGGGGTGGGGGAACCCCCCTACCCCCCCGCCACCCCCACCTGGCACCACTACCTGCAAACACCCTGAGAATGAACTGGAGCGGGAAATGGAAATAAGTGTGTCAAGAGTAACATTGACTTTTGACAACAGAATCGAGATCTGAGGGATTTAACACCCTTCCCGAGGCTAAGGAAATTTCAATGCTCTCAAAAAGCTTTTTCAAAACAATCTGCCCTACAGTTTCAAACCATTCCAACTCTCAAACTGCAACATAGGAAGCATGGTTTCCAGCCCAGCCTAAGGTCGGTCCAGGGGAGGGTCAAACGTATCTCTGGTGCTAGACGCTGAGGGTCAGAGAAATGGCCAGATTGCAAGATGGCTTACAGTGTAATTTTTGGAAAGTTACTTAACTCTGTGTCTGTGTGTGTTTGGGAGGGAGCAAGAAAGTAAAACATGGAAAGGAAAAGAAGAATCAACATTATTTCCATATAGGAAAACAAGGACATCGTTTGGAAGTGGATGGTCAAATTATATTACAATTA